ATCTCTCTGTGGTGAAAGAGTGTTGGTGCGTGACCGCAGAGCCCAAGGGACAACTGCTTCAGGCCGGTCACGCACGGCCTTTTTATGAAATGTTTTTTGAGGATTAGCTCCGTTCTTAAAGGCCCTTAGTGGGCACCCTTACCCAAGGAGACGGAAATCCGTGAGTTAGGGGAGGTGTGACATTTTTAGGGTCGACCTTTTCTAACCCTTTCTTCCTTGTGAGAAGGCAGCATCGCTGCAGATGCTGGTTGTCCGAAGGAAACACCTTACTGCTGTCACACCCCTCTGCAGTCAGCAGTACGACTTCGCCCTCGGACCTTGGGTATCTGCTTTTAGTCTCATCGTTCTCCAATCGACCTGTCTGGCATGGTAGGACCTGCAGGAACATATGTTCCAGCCAGTATAGCTCGGTTGGGTCATCACGATAGGCAAGCCCGACCACCACGTCAAGGTAGCAGCTACGGTCGGGGTAGATGTAGTAGTAGATGTAGTAGTAGTAGTAGTAGTATTAACAGTAATGGAGAAGATTTCGGTTCAAAAATATTATTCAAGGAATATAATTCAGTGGGGCGAGAAAGATGAAGGTCATGAGTAGTTTAGATGAGAATTCGGGAGAACACAAAGAATGGATGCACCTGCGCCATTGCGAACGATTTTGAGTCATATCATTCTAAGTCTCTTATGGTCAATTGCTATTGTCTCGCGGACCCCAACTGATGAAGCTTCAGTAATTCATCTATTAAGCTGCCATATTTACCTATTACTAGTTTCTTAACGACAGCATCGCTTACTCAGTTGTCTCAGGCGACACGAGCAATGCTTCGAAGATATTTATAATCGAATGCTAGTATAACCTACGAATATCCTCAACTCTTATCGGCCATGTTTCACACCTGTATAGTACGACCGAGTGAACTAATGCGCAGTGAAGCAGGTTGGCAAAATCCAATCGGATGTTTTGCATCCGTGCTGAGATTCCGTCAGACACCACCAGGCCATCAGTACTGATTAGACTCCGTCAACACGCTCAACTACTTTACTCACTATCACTAGTTGTGTAACTTTAAAAAATAAGAGATTAGGATCATGATCACTAGTATAGAGATAACACTTCTTTTTACAATGACTCTTCTCATTTTATTGTAATTCATTCATTTATCACCAATCAATCAGAAAAATCATGGGTGACATAGAATCAAGAACCAGATCAAAAATGGGGGATACAATCAAAATAAAGGAGCAAACAACGACAGGTCAACAGTAACTAATCAAGACCGAGGTTAACAGAACAAGCTACAGGTCAAACGTGGAGAAATTCGAATATTTCACTTCTTCTATCTAAAGTTTGTGCCGCTGATAATGTTGTAGTTCAGCAGAAGAACAATGAAAGCTTCACAACCAAAACACATCCAGCTCAGAGAGAACGAAACACCACCACCACAATTTACCGAATATAGATAGATGTACATAATAGGTTTTTTGAGTTATACTTCAGTTATATGTAAGGGCTATTTATTAGTGACAATAACAGAGAGGTAGGTCCAAGTCAAAATGGATAGGACGGCAATCAAATCTCTGTGACTTTCAGTTGAAAGCTGTATAGTTTACAAACAGCTAAATTATCACTAATGATTCTTCACAAATCAAAAACGGTTAGGGCGTTCGTGCACAATACCGAAGGTCCTGGGTTCGAATCCTGCGGGATGCAGGAGTCGTGGATGCGCACTGCCACTGATGAGTCCCATACCAGGACGAAACGGTCGTTCAGTGCTTCCAGGTTTCTAATGGTGGTCTAACATTGATCGATTCATGGTTACAAATAAAACTTAACAATCTTCACAACAACCCCGCAATACAAATTAAAGAAATCACCATCAATGAAAAAAAAAATCTACCAACAACCTGAAATTGTAACTCATCGAATCACATTCATTACATGGTTTCTGTACTTACCATTGATTTTGTTTCTTCTGTTAATTCAGGATCTGATTCAAAAATACCTAGAGAGAACAAGTAAAGATGAGAAGTATTAAAAAAAACAATATACAAAATAATTTACCTACCATACGAAGTTGGAACAAGTTCACCATTTTGACTATACTTTGATAGTGTACGATCAAAATCTGTAATAATCTCTCTAAAAAAAAAGAGAAATTAGAAATGGATACATACGTATATATTATACATATATATGCATTATGGGGTTGTGAAGATTGTTAAGTTACACATTTTTGAAACCATGAATCGATCAATGTTAGACCACCATTAGAAGAATCCTGGAAGCACTGAACGGCTGGCTCAGTGGTCCAGAGGTTAGGCGTTCGCGTACAATACCGAAGGTCCTGGTGTAGTGAACGAGAACACAGGTGGGGCAACCGGATTGTATTTAATGAAAATTACAGAGTTACTCAGTAAAATAGGAAAACCATATCGTTAATCGTTTATTTGCAAAATATCAGTTCATCATCATATCGAACTGGACTGTTCCTGTTGCAAAACATCAATCCATTGTCACTACTATTCATGCGTTTCATACAAATTCCATTGTGTTCTAACTCTTCCTTTCTTGATCTTCCCCCCATCTTCTGCTGTCAGACATTACGATGACACTCACGTCATATACTACTTATAAGTAGCTCGCACCACACTGGGTTCGAATCCTACGGGGTGCAGGAGTCGTGGATGCGCACTGCTGATGAGTCCTATGCCAGGACGAAACGGCCGTCCAGTACTTCCAGGTTTCTTCTAATGGTGGTCTAACATTGATCGACTCATGGGTTCAAAAAATATATATATAGATATATGTTAAATAACTAGATAGAAAGAGACAACACAATGAATTAGCTATTCAATTGTATGAAGATGAGAAAGTTTAAATTGTAAATTCTTGTGAGTTCTGATTTGTAGTTTATTTGACTAGACAATATGTATTGAAAAAGGTCAAACAGTTTGATGTTGAAGATGAATGAATACTGTGATAGTACAAACAATAACTAGTACACGTTAAACAAAAAAAGAAGATGACTATTTTCACTCAGTACAGTATCAAAAATTAAAAGTGACCAGTGTTTATTAGTTCAAAATCAATTGGAAAGCAAGCAAAATAAGTTTCGAGAGCATAATGTTTTAACCCTACAATAACTTTGACAACTGGACCAAACCTCATAATAAAAATAAACTTTAATTTAGTTGCCCAACCGTAGCTGCTACCTTGACGTGGTGGTCGAGTTTGCCTATTGTGATGACCCAACCCAGCTATATTAGCTGGAACATATGTTCCTGTAAGTTCTACCATACCAAGAAGGTCGATTGGAGAACGGTGAGACTCAAAGCAGAAACTTAAGGTCTGAGAGCGAAGTCATACTGCTGACTGATTGTAGAGAGGTGTGAAAGTAGTAAGGTGTTTCCCTCGGTCAACCAGCATCTACAGCGATGCTGCCTTCTCACAAGGAAGGAAAGGGTTAGAAAAGGTCGACCCTGAAAATTTCACACGTCACCTTACCGTACGGATTTCCATCTCCAGCGGTAAGACCTTTTATAAAGAGCAGAACTAACACTTTAAAAACCTGTGGTAGTGTTTCGTTCTCTCTGATCTGGATATTTTGGTTGTGAAGCTTCCATTGTTCTTCTATTGAACAACATCATCAGCACAAACTTCAGATGGAAGTGAAGTATTCGAATTCTTCCACGTTTGACCCGTAGCTTGTTCTGTTAACCTCGATCTTGATTGGTTGCTGTTAACCTTAAATCTATCTGACCTGTAACTACAAGTCGAACGTGGAGGAATACCAATACTTTAAGAACTTGTCATTCGGTTGAAATTTTAAACTTTATGGATAGATTTTACTGTTAGGTGTTGGTTGAAGTTAGATAACAGGGGACTTCACGATCTGGGTTTGGTACTGTTACCTGGCAGATTCAATCTCGTCCTCACACTTTGTAAAGTCAAACCATATAGGCTAAAGGCTCTACTTGGTATCTGAGACCTCTCAGCAACGATTATCAACTCAGAGTTTTGAAGATATTTCATTCTTTGCAAGTTCAAGATGTTCAGTACAGGGTTGTGAATATGTAATACTAAGAAATTGTAAAATAAGTCAGTCAGTCACCAACAAGTTGCCATACGACATTTGCACAGTTGTCAATTCTAATCCTATAGTAGAGGTATTAGGGGTAAAGGAGAAGATTAGGGTTCGAGGATATTATTCAAAAGTATAATCTAGTGAAATAAACTTAAAAAGAGAAAGTTAAGGGTGATGAGGAATTCGGAAGATCAGAGTTTGAGAGAACGCAAAGAATGGGTGCACCTGCGCCATTGCAAACGATTTTTAGCCATGTCGCTCAAGGTCTCTAACCACCAGCGTCGATTGTCTCACGGACTCCAATCAAGTAGTCTACACCAACTAACATGATTCAGTCTACTTGTCAGTGACTTCATGGATTTATGCCATGTTTTGGTTTGGTTGCCCCTTGTAAAATAGCACGAAATAGATATACTATGAATTTGTGAGTTATCGGTAATTTTTCACCTAGTCAGTCAGTCAGATGCAACGTAGAACTTCGTACGTAGTAAGTACATCAGTTCATGTTGCCATACCACATCAGCACAGAGATGTAATTGTCAATTCAAATACAATAGTAGAAGAGGTAGTAAAGGTATTAGAAGTAATCGGAGAGGTTAGGATGAGAAGGTTTTCAAGAAATATGTTTCAGTGAGATACGTATAGAAAGTCAAAAGTAGAGGTCTTGAAGAATCCAGAAGATGAGGATTTGAAAGAACACAAAGAATAAATGCACCGGCGCCATTGCGAACGATTTGGAGCTATGTCATTCAAGGTCTCTAACCATCGATTATTATCATCTCGCGGACCGCAACCAGGTAGTCGACAATTACCGACATGGCTCAGTCCACTCGTCAATGACTTCATGGATTTCTGCCATGTTTTGGTTTGGCCGACCCTAACTTTCTTCCAACCTACTCCTACACCACAAAACAAAGCTCTTCAAGGCAGTCGGTGGTTAAGCATACGCAACACATGTCCCAACCACCTCAACTGATGAAGTTTCATTACTTCATCTATTGATCTGCCATTCTTACCTAGCACCCGATTCCTAATAACAGCGTTACTCACTCGGGTGTCCCATGATACACGAGCAATGCTTCTTAAACATCTATGATCGAATACTGGTAACCTACGAACATCTTTCACTTTTAACGGCCATGTTTCACATCCATATAGGAGAACGGAACGAACTGCTGCGCAGTACACCCGTCCTTTGGTTAGCGAACGGATATCACACAATTTTTCACCTAGCAATGAATTTGTCAGAAAAGCTTGATTCAAATTCAAGACACACACACGTACATAAACATAATTAAACATAAATAAACAAGGGAACATTGTACACACACACACTTACAATTTATCTTTTCCACTAGTAGTTAATATTTCCAATTTCTTTTGAACAGTTTTAATATTTTTTATCAAAACAGTTGCAGAATTAATATTTTGCTAATAATTTGTAGAATCAGAAAAAAAATTAATTCAATTTTTTTTCAAACTTACAATATCAGAAGAATTTTTTAAAATTTGATTTAAAAATGATGAAACAGTCATTTGTAGTGTAGTTTGTAGTGTAGTTGTAGTAAAATTATTCACAGAATTAATTTGAATTTGTGGCTGTTATGAAGCAAAAGAGAAGAAATTGAAAATTACTAATGATTAGATAATGTGAATGTGTGTGAAATATTGTAAATGAGTTGAAAAAAAAAACTGTTAGTAAGAATGATATACTGACTCAATCAGTCAGTCATATGTACTAAATACTATTTTTTTTACACATTTGAAATCATCAATCAATCATTGTTAGACCACCATTAGAAGAAACCTGGAAGCACTGGACGGCCGTTTCGTCCTAGTATGGGACTCCTCAGCAGTGCGCATCCACGACTCCTGCTCCTCGCAGGATTCAAACCCGGGACTTTCGGTTCAGGACTTTCGAAGGCCTAACCATCGGACCACTGGGCCGGCATCCAACGGTGTTAATGTCTAACTCTGATTGATCTAGGGATTTTGCGCGACCTCATCCATTTGTCTTTTTTGGTAGTTACTGCCTACACCCGACACAGGGTTGAACTCCATTGGTCACGTCTTCTCAACTAGAACTCCGAGAATTTCCTCACGAAGCTAGTCACTAGTGAGCAAGCACTGTTACGATATTTTCGGGCAGAGTTTTGGAGGTTTGCGATTTTTTACACATACCAGGACGAAACGGCCGTCCAGTGCTTCCAGGTTTCTAATGGTGGTCTAGTAACAATGATTGATTGATGATTTCAAATGTGTAAAAAAATCGCAAACCTCCAAAACTGTGCCCCAAAATACTATTTTTTTATTGACCAGTAACAAAATATTTAACCCACACACAAGTTTTAGATATCCAGTTGTTAAGATTGGTAGAATACAAAAAGAAATACCAGACGAAATGCATAAAATGAAATAGTTTAAAGAATTTTTTTTGCGAAATTGAAGATGATTTCTCTTTAATTCTTGAATGTAAGTAAATAACCATGGCTATTGATTTCCAGGTGTTCTCACTGTTTAGCATACAGTTTTTCATTTTAGTTAGTCATTTAAACCGTAGATGGAAGTGTCGCTTCCAGTTGGTCTGAACCTATTTTACAGTTGTCATCTAGGAAGCCTCAATTTATCTACAACTCATTATCAATTTATGACATGGAGCAGTGGTGGTATGTGGTTTGTCATGACTATTTGGACGGGAACCCATTGATTGTGCAACTCATTGATTGACTTGTGAAATAATCGATGACAGCCTACATTAGAAGTCAGCAATCATGTATCTTCCTATCATCATCTCAAGATGTAAAGTTTGTCTTGGTGAATAAAAAATCAATCATGATTGAATTATTTTGATTGATGATTCGTAGACTTGTTAACTAAAATATGATTCTCATTACATTCTCAATACATTTATTAACGCCTTAATGTACCAGACACTGTGTCGAAATTGAAACAGTCAAATAGTTGAATGACAATGAGCTTAAGTTTAAAAGCATTTCATAAAATTGAGTGCAAAGCTTTTCTTACTAACATCATTTTTTTTAATCAGGCAAACAAACAAACAAATGACATAGCAAAAACAGATCGTACTTAATGATGAGATATATTGGGAGAGTGTGAATTTACAATTTCAGAATATAATCAGTCAGTCACTCAAACGCAATGTGGAACATGGCACATAAATGCACTACTGGTTAAAGTCCCCATGCTGTATCATCACAGTGAAGTAAAAGTATGAAGATAAATGATACAGTAGTAGAAATGGTGCTAAGTTGGTACTGTCCTGTTTTTTTTCGTCTTCAAATAACAAGTTTTGTTTTGGAAAATCACAGATACAAAAGAAAATGAAACATGGTTTTAATTTGCATCAGCTAAGAGGAAAGGAATATGAAAGATAAACGGATGAAAATAATATTGGCTTCAGTGAAAATGTTAACAGTAAAAGATATGTTTTTTCATAGAAAACCAGTAAAATAGACGATTTGAGTACGGTTATTCAATGCTCTCCTTGGCCTCAAATTGAATACTGAACCCGTATGTATAAGATCGCGAGAAGTTCCTGTTGAATTGATAAACAGTTTGGTACATAAGTGAAAGTAAACAAAGCACGGTAAGACAAGAGAGGTGGTATATGGGAATTAAATGTTCAAGATTTAGATAAAAATATATTTGTCCATTGAAACCGATATGCAGCTTTAAACTTTAATTGACCATGTCAGTCAGTCAGTCAGTTGTAACGTAGAACTTCGTACGTATGTACATAAGTTCATGTTGCCATACCACATTAACACAGAGACGCAAATGTCAAATCAAATCCCATAGTGATAAAGATAGTAGAGGTATTAATGTTAATAAAGAAGACTAGGGTCCGATATTATTCAAAAAATATAATTCAGTGAGATAAGGTTAGAAAGACAAAGGTAGAGGTGCTGGCTAATCCAGAAGATTAGGATTCGAGAGAGCTCAGAGAGTGGATGCACCTGCGCCATTGCAAACGATTTTGACCATGACCATAGATTATAGTTGCTGTAAACAGAGAACACATCTTAATAACTAACTAATTAACGAGTAGATGGAATGGGAGGTTGGAAATCGTAACTCATTGGTTTAGAATTAAATTCCACAAATGCTGCTGTACAATGGCTCCAGTAATAAGCATTTATTTGTTTGGTGCCATATGACCTAGTTTATAATAATGTACACAAATGAATGCCTCGTAAACAGCTATATTTCTAACTAAATGCATTCAAAAAAACTAACGCGATTATCCACATACATATTCATGGACAAACAGATTTCCAGACATTTTTCCTGAGAAAACTTTGATACTGATTAATCTTCGAGATAGGAAAAGCGACAGTTGCAATCCAATCAACTTCTTCATAGCCTGTACCCAGGGATTATTATTGACAGCATTACAAGGTCTTTGATGAGAAGTTTGTTGTAATAACAATCTGTCAAAATCCACTTACACTGTTACTTGTTGATATATTGGTTTTTGGAAACCAGACACATGTAGACTGATAATTATTCAGAGATCTTCGTGTCATGCATTGGTGTACACTCAGTATCCAACTTTTAGTTCCCTCTAAATTGGGGAATTTCATCATTAAAATTTTAGATCAATTTTGAGCTGGAAAATACTAGCTACAAAGTACTAATTCATTCATACTAAAATTAAAACTTTATGATATAATAACAATGTAAATCTTCAAACGAAGTTTCTAAGTTGAAAGGAGTTGTAACTATCCACGAATCTTACAATTATAGTAGTTTATCATCAAAAATAATGATTCTATAATTAGTTTCGACCTCACTGCTGATTTAATTACTATTTGAGTCCCGCAATTGTATAAAGTCAAAAAAGATCTATTGTGCAGTATATCACCAAACTACTTGTTGTAGACAGAAATGTACTTAAATTCCTAAAACTGAACATCGAACTTGGTCTCAGTACTATAATCTCTAGGGTTTTAATGAATGTTTACAAGATGTCATTAGAGATATTGATTAACTTGGCTCAGAATCGGTCACAATAGTCAGTATTTATTCGTCCTTCATCTAGGCCTGAATCCTGAGTTCACGTATTCCTTTGTAAATGCCTATACATTCTGCAATTTTGAACAAAGCCCATCAATAGATATGGTTCAATAGGAAGATAACTCATGGAAACGCTGAACTTTACTACATTTGCTGTGTTTTCGAGTGTAATCTATCTGAAGTTAAAGGCCAAACTTTACCAGTTATGAATCAATGTGGTTGTTTAAGTTGGGATACTTCATGCTAAAAAAGCAACGGTGAAAACTGACACGATGGAAGACCAAATGATAATATTAACTACAATGGAAAGCTAGGCATGAAGAAACGAGAGGAATGAAAAATACGGGGTAACACACTTAAAATTCAACAAGGGAAAAGAAAATGAATATAAGTGTAACACTACAATTGATTTTGAAGCATTCTTTACGATGCAAATAACGGTTATTTTCCATACTGTGACCTCTTTCTTCTTGATACTATTTCGACTACTTACCAATAGTTTCAATGTTGCAAAGTATTTTGGTACGGGAAAACTGTGCTTTTCGAAGTATATACAAAATGGATAAGCCAATGCAAAGATCTGTTCATGAATTAAATTTATGATTTATGTCACAATTAGTACGAATTACTAAATGCCAATCAGGTCATGTGAAGTATGTGAACAGATTTATGACAAGTTTGCTCACAATGTTAATTATTTATAAATCGGATTTCAATGTGATGAGTAAGACTACTTCTTCGCCGTGAATTCGAAAACCCAAAAGTTGATGCATAATTAAAAACGAATTAGCCCGACTGTGATGTAGTAGTGAAATAGAACAAAAGCCAGTTACGAGGGAAAGCTAGATACGCTGTCGCCTAGACCTGTTCTGCTTGATTTGTACCGATAAGATATTAGATTAGGTTGTATGCTGGACTATTCAGGCGTATAGCTAACCCCATCCAATGAGGTTTAAAAAAAAGGGAATTTGACAAAAAAAATTCAAACAGCACTACATATGATCCTGAATACTATCGAAAAATAATGTCCAATTAATGTACAGACCTGTATTGTTTCACCAAAACCCTTACAAATCTTATGTTGAAAATATATTGCTGACAAAAATTCACACTAACAAACCTCGGAGTAAAACATTTCCAAACACCGACCTATAAAGTTTTTGGTTCATATAATTGCTCACCTTGAAGCATTAAAACAAAGGTATCAACAAAATTTCATTTTCGGAATTTTCGAATAGTTTTCTCTTTGAGATTAATGAGTGGATACTTGAGGTGTGTTCTTGATTAGGTAGATACTATGGAAACCATGATATGGAATAAAGTGTTAAGACCCGCCAACTTTGGATTGCCTTTTACAGTTGTACTTCTTATACAGACTTCCACAACAAATAAAAGCCATAGATGACTGGAAAGGAGGTGCCAAATTCCTTTAGAACACAAATGTGTCTTACTGATCCTCAAAATAGCAGTATTTGTGACGCCTGGAAGAAGCAAATAGT